CATTGCGGCTTTGTGTGATGGAATCCGGCTTGAATGGGGGGATCACCCGCGGGATTAGCAGTAGAGTGTGATACTGATATTCGTCACTGATAGCTCATGCGATGAACAGATATCCATGTTAGCGTTAGGGACTATATGACTAACACCTTCAGCTAAGTGGGATAGCGTTGTTGCCCTGGACACTCGTCCTAGGGCTGGGCATCGACGGGTCTTCTAGTCGGTTTTGGGTTGTAGCGCGGGGAGAAAATCAATCGAGCATTCATCGTTGGACGCTCCGGAGCCGCAATCAAGGGTACTTGGTTGGATAGGCCAGTGAACTTCGCTCGTCCCATCCGCGATGCATGGCAGTTACTGCATCATCGATTGTAGTAGTTGTCTTTTGTGCATCCCATTGGTTGCTCAAGTCTCGAGCTATGGCCGACAACGATTGGAAGTACAGAGTGAACCGTAAGAATAGTACTTGTGAGTAGTTGCTACGGAAAACGTCTGCCGATAGAGCTGGGAGCTCACATAGCGGATATTGAGCAGAAGCATATGGCGGAAATGAGGCGACAAGAGAGGGAAATACGGGCACTCAAGGATAGAATCGATGGTAGACAAGGGCGTAGGTGAACGAGGTCATTAATTGGATTCAGGATTGAGGATGGAGAACGAGCATTTGACTACGCAGTTGGGGTCGACAGATGCAGGGAGTGATCCTTTTACCAGGACAGTGGAATGGACTATAACAGGTGAAAATGCATGTTGTGGGTGTCGAACCCGATATCACCGATATTCAATACCTAGGCATCAGAGAGCAGTTGAAGATGTGTTCGAAGCACGTGAGCATTTGGAGTCCCGAGGTACTAGAGTTGTGAATCCAGTCGGCGCGAAGGAGATATGTTCAGTTCTCTGCTTGTGGCATCCGTAACATGCAGTTAGAGTTCTTCCCACAAGGTCGGGAAACAGCAACTCTTGATGGCTTCTGCTCTGTCTTCTTATGGTGTCCTGAGGGAACGAATATCAAATACCAACTTTTTGTTGGCAATTATCACCGGTGAGTCCCCTCTTCACATTATGTACAATTATTCGGATCGATATGGGACGGGAAATTATCGGTATTAGATTGGTAGCATTGAGACGTCCACGACTGATCGTGCCTTATAATTCGTGGTTTAGTTGTAGCTGTGGATTCGTAATGGGTTCATTCAGGGCACCTGATGAGGATACCTACGATTCCCGTATGGGCCATGGACATTCCAATTTCTGTTTGCTCGATGCCGAGATTGATAACGTCACCGACAGGTAGAAAGTCGCAGCACGTATGTCTTCATTCGACTGTTGTTCGTATAGCGTCACTGTTGGCGTTGACATCCTGGACGTGTCGAAAGTGTATGAGATGGGTAATGGAGAGCTGAAGGTAAGGCAGGTTGATGGGAGCACCATGAGGTTCCTCTTGTGAAGATCCATAGATTGTCGTTGAACAAGCTTATGCGACGGGAAATGATGGTGATTGAGAATCATGATGTGTCCACGGTGGAATGGAAGATATCGCGGATCTCTCAAAGGTTGGCTGCAACACCTCGTGGGGCAAGCCTATACAGTCCTGTCTTCACAGCAGCAGGTAGGGGAGCCTTCTTAGTGTGAACGAATGTGTGAACATAATCGATTATGTAGGTATTCGTGATATGCTGCTAGAGTTCTATCCCAACGGCAATGCTAACACCAAGAAGGTACTCCTTCGTGATTTTATCTCGAATGTGGTCGCTATCATCTTCAGGATGGATATTGCAGTCTCTATCTCCGTTGCCCAGAAGGTACCCAGATAGTCGTTACTTTGATAGTGGGCTCGTATAGGAAAGGGCCGATAATGGCTAAGGTAGGCTCAGCATGGAGACATGTCATTGGCGAGATTGACATCAGTTCGATGGGTCGGCTGGAAAGGGGCTCCCGGAATTCTGTGAGTTGACAGCACAAATTAATAAAGATGACGATTCCATTATGGTGGGATTGGAATTGAAAAACGCCGCTTTGTCTGGTACCGACGGCAGTGGTAAGAAGACCGTCCTCAAGCTCGAGAGTGGTGGTCGATCTTATAGATAATTACTATCATTTTACATGGGGTAGTCGAAATAACGAGCATCTTGTTGAATTGCAGAGTGCAAGGATCGAACCCGTGGTCTATGAGTTTCGATATAGTTGACAGTATAATGTTGAGAATGTCGGCACAACGGCGAAGGCGCATGCGACTCGATGGCTTGGCCGTTGATGGAGAGCTGGTGAGTACTCAGTCCCATGTTGCTCCACACCTCTGCTAATCTACCTGTTGAATCTCCTGCACTGTTAACGTCGATCACTGAAGCTCCGACGATGGGAGATAATAGTAATTACTATTACTATGACCATTAACTATGGCTGTGTGATGTCGCGATGAATCACCCTGTTCAGCCGCTGTCGGAGACCAGCGCCATCTACAATATGCGTGACCTTCTTGTCGAGAGGACATATCCTATAACTAGAGGCTTCATCAGTGGAAGAATTCTGGTAGGCAGGACGGGCTATGCTGTGCAAATTCGTCAATCTATATCGTCCTTAACTTTTGAATACAAATGTATCTTATCGTCTTCCAGCCTTGGTCGTTCGCCGATCGTCTTCGTAAAGTCGGCGTCCCCGAGTACTCATGACTTCCAATCCCTCCTCCAACGGAAGTACGAGGTCGACAGTCTCCCCTTCAATACGGTTCGACTGGTCCTAAAAAGACTCATTAAGGCACGTAGAGAAAAGCGCTATCGCGCACGCCATGGTGATCGATTGGACGATACTAAAGACAAGGGATTCAAACTGAGGCCTTGGATGTGACCAGCGTTCCTGGTGCACAATTTGACCACCGAGGTAGGCTCGCGCCGGACGAGAGATACCAGTACCTGCCGAAGGGGAGTGTCGTCTAAGAGCCGGGAAGCAACGAGAGACGTCGACTTTATAAATAGTACATTACTGTGCCGAAAGCATTCCTACTCGTAAATCTGCTATTGCTTCTGCTGCTGTAGTCGGGTCAATTGCAATGAGTATTGTTCGGTTGTTAAGTGGAAGACAAATACGATGGTCTTAGTAGCATATACTATTGTGTCGAGTCGTCAATAAGGGATATTCGACAATAGGGGCTCGTGATGGCTAGAGAGTAATGGACGTAGTGTATTGTCGGGAGCCCGCGTAATTGATGGCCAGTGGTTCACCCCAGTGTGTCCAGGATAGAGTAGAGGAGGAGGGTAGTAGAAGAGTAGAGGGCAGCGGAGGGGATAGGATGCTGAATATTGAGATAGTCCTGCATAGGTCAGGGAGGGATGATGGAGGCTGGAAGTAAGTCAGGGGCAGCGTTTGGGAGCTTCAGATGGATGGGCTTCGACGGGTTCTTTCTCGGAGCCTTATGGTGGGGACGAGAATGAATTTTTAAAGATGCTTAACTGTAGCCAAGGAGGTTGTCGTTTAGGCTGGCCCCAAGTGCAACTCTATCCCTCCTTAAAGATGTCCCACACGCCCCAAGGCGACGGCCGAGGCCTTTGGAAGTCGTCTGTCATGATGATGAGATGGAGAGAGGCATGGTAATGGGTGGAAATGTAGAGGGTGTTGGTGATGCAGTCGTAGGTCGTGTCACCAGCATCGACTCTCCCCGCGACTGGTGTAGACTATTCGGTCGAGTCAAGTCATGATGGGCATCATGACAGTGTCACAGACCGGACCCGCCTACCTGTCCGTCTATCCTTGCTCATCCTCTCATCCTTCGCCATTCACTTCACAGGCCGCACACTATAACCGAGATGCTGGAGTCTCTCTACCGAACCTTGCTTCTTCCGGGAGTAGAAGCTCGAATGAGAAGTTCGAGTCGATGCGAAGGAGGGTATTCGGTATTGGTCATAGCGACAACGTTCGACCCCCGGCAATTATAGAGCAACGTTCTGGGGAAGCCCCAGGTCTACCGAGAGGTGGGGATAGGTTGATCGCGCAGTTGTGGATACTGCTTTCCTAGATTCCTCTTTCCTTCTCCAGAATGGAGGTGTTCATGGTAAGTCACTTCTACCGCCCTGTTTGTATATTCTTCTCCAGTCCCTCCCCGAGCAGCTGTCGATACGGAGTACTCTGGACAGGAGGGTCGACCGCGGGCTGGGTTGGGAAAGGACCCATCCACACGGAAGGTTCTCGACTATAGGGGGTCTGGCTGTATCCAAACCACCGATGCAGCATGTCAGTGTGAGTTTTTCAGCGATGTTAAACGATGAGTATGTGCAACGTTTCTACAATCGTCAGGGTCTTTCGGGCTCTTACGATGATGCATTCCCTTCTACGAATGCCACATCGTTCATGCTACCTCTATATCATTAGCAACGACTGTGCTTTGTTACCAGGTATTGAGTCTAGAGAGGTCTCGAGAAGTCGGCTAGAGGCCGCCGATGTCCGGTCAGCTGTTATCATCCCCACTATCTAGTTCCGCATGCGGTTATAGGTGCGCTGAGCTGGAGGCAGAAGTAGAGCTGCTACGAATAGGCAGTGATAAGGTGGCAGCAATGGAGGCTGAGCTTACCTCATTGGCAGCTGAGGTATCCACCAGTGGTGTTCGAATAATATGCAGGCTCGGGTAGGTCGATCGACTAACGGTAGGGTTGCAAGAAGAGAGAAGGAGGAATGACGTTCGATGCGACCACTCGAACTGTGCTCCCGAGCAGGTAGATGCCGGGGAGCTGAGAAAGAGGGTTTTGTTATGTGTATGCTCCCTCCTGGACGCTGCGGTCCTCAGATTGCCCAATTGGGACGGCTCGAGCGTCGTCAAGAGGAGAGGAAGGTGACAGCTGATGGCACAATACGCGATCTCCAAGATAGCCTTATGAAGGAAAGGAGTAGGGTGTCAGAGTTGGAGTTATTATTGGAGACGGCAAAGAACGAGATACGTTTGTGAGGCGCTCTACGATCACTCCCTCGGCAAGCATTCGACAGGTCGAAAGTTAATAGGGAGTCACTGCAACAGCATGAATCAATTCGAAATCACTCCGGCGAGAACAGCGTGGAGAAGGAGTCTGATCGGCGGGAGGAAGGGCTCATCAGGGTGATGGCTACCGCCGCTGGGGGGATGGACGGGTGGATAAGTAGGTCCGAAGAGAGGAGGGAGAACATCATGAGTCCTTGTCGGGGCTGACCAGCGAAGGGGCGAGAACGGAGGCCGCAGAAGAGAAAGTGCAGAAGTGAGCCTATCAACTTTTTAATGATTTGGTGCCGTCTATGTAGGTTATACCAGCGTGTGGAAGAACTCCAGCAGCGGGTGAGTAGAGGTGCTGATGACACAATCAAGTGGGCTTAGGTAGATGAGAAGGCGACTGAGCTGATCTCCGTCTCGATCGAACGAGATGAGCTCTCTCACAAACTAGATAAAGCAAATGAGAGGCTGTCCTCTGCCGTCGAGCAAATAGGAATACTTGAAGCAGCAGTTGAGCGGGAATCATCGCAGAGGTAGGCTCGAACATGCTTGATAGTGACGACGTACGGCTTCAGGCAGTTGCTCATTCTACAGCGTCACGGCCTGCAAGAGGAATGTGATAGACTCACAACGACGGTGGAAAGGCTGGATCGGATCAACACTGAGAACATCCTCACCAAAGGGCAGGCCGGAAGACGGGTAGGGTGCTCTTGGGCAGTAGATCAGCGATGGATTGGTCGAGGAGGTACGAGGCTACGAGGAAGGAGGACTAGCCGGCAGGGTCATTAACCAGACCAGTCTCGACCAGAGCTGCGTGGGTGTACGCTCCCTTCGATTCAGTGGTACACAAGTTGCAGGCGCGGCAGTTGATTACAATGTCTCTGGAAGATTACAACGCTGAGTGTACCCGGGTTGCTGAGGTCACTGAACAACTTTTGAAGGAGCGACGGACAGTCCAACGCCTTCTGGATGAGGTTACTAGTTCACCACAGAAGAGACACTGAATGTTGGTGTTCCCTCCTGCTGAAGGTACGTCAGCTTAGGCTCGATAAAAGAGACCTTGAGGTGGCTCTGCGCGGTACGACCGAGCCGATCACAGGCGGAGTGTGCCGCCCTGTAATCTACTCTTCATCCTCCTCTCGACATGTACTGTACCAGGCACCAGTCGGGCACAGTAACAGTCTATCAGGAACAAGACCGGTGGCTGGTCGCAGTGGATTGGTGAGCGAATCGCACCAGCATACCTTAATTAGATGGTAGGCACTCCCGACATCGGTGAGGTCTATTCGTACGACTGACGCGTCGATGACAACGACTCCATCCCACCATCAGGATGACTCTGGTGTTGTCGACTCGGAAAGATGTACTCCAGTAGCTCACCCTCTCTTTCATGAACATATTGTGTGGTCAGTGGCGCCGATCCCCCACGCCCTTCATAAGGCAGCCTCGATATCTGTCTCGACCACTCGGCCACTACTCCCGCCCAACCTTGGCAGTCCAAACCCTTCGGCACTCTTCCATCACCCCAGCTGTTATCCGAAACGGGATGTTGCTTGATGT